CTGAGAGACTTATGGACTGAGTCCTGGCTCCGGGGCTCCTGGCTGTGCGGCCTGGAGAGTCAGCCTTTCTGGCTCCTTCTACTGATCTGTAAAGTGGGCACAACGATCCCCACGTCACAGGGAGTCCACGAGGACCCAGTGAGTTAGGAGCGAGAAGAATGTCAGAGAGTTCGTGTCACTGAGCCAGCACTCAGCCCGCGCTGACGATTACAGATTCACATTGTCTGTGAACAGCTCTCAGCACATGACTGACGCTGGGTGGTATTCAAACTGGTCGAGGCAGGATGTTGTGAAATCACCATGGTTTGTCCCAGAGGCTGAGGGTCTGAAAGGCAGTTTGATGTCATACAAACGAGGGGGAGAGCAGGGGCCATCTGGAGTTGCTGAGGTAGCTGAGGCTGAGCGATCCTGGAACAGGTTTGTACCAATTTATTTACTCAGTTTCCCCCTGATCTACCACTGTGTGTGTCTCATGGCGAAATTATGCAGAACGATTTAGCATAGAAATAACTGATGGTTGGATCCACACAGTCCCTGCTCAGAGCAGTGAGAGGGGGAGGAGGCAGGACCTGAGCTGTGGGCATCAGGCTCACAAGCAGGTGTCCCCGGAGGGCGGGATTCTCCTGCTTCTTCCCATTAAATCCTCCTTACAGCCTGGCCTGGTTTGTGGACCTCACTGTAGACAGTAGTGAGAAGCTTCTCCTCTTCTAGATGAGGTGCACCCCTACCCTGGAATGCAGACAGAGGGTTCTTGGATCAACTGAGGGACAGAGATGCCCCAGAGGGACCCACACAGACCCAGTTCTGCTGACATGACCTGCCCCAGTGCCCAGCACTGCAGGGACCCCAGGAGAATTTTCGTAGTTAATACTGCCTTGTCTAGAAAGGGTTACAGAGGCATCCAGGCCAGAACGTGCAGATGACTGGGATTGACAGGCACACACTCAGGGAGAAGGACTTGGAAGAACCCAGGCTGCCCTCTCTCCCAGCCTCACCTTGCCCCTGTGGTTTCCAGACTCCTGATGGGTCTGATCTGCATAGTGGATGCCACCATCTGGGTCCACGTGCCCCTTCTGTGATCCTGCACCTGCGTCATACACAGATGGAGCTTGATTCTAAGCCTGGAAACCTGGACCTTCCCCCACTCCATGACTCCATGGCCATGGCCACACCAGCCAGCCTCCTGCAGGGATATTCTCTGAGCAGCAAAATGCAGGAGAACGGGTGTCCGGGGTTGAACAGGGGAGGGAGGTTTCTGGGCACAGGAAGGAGAAACACAGCCTGCCTTTCACAGATTCCAAACTCTTCTTCTTCCCACGTCTCTTCCAAAGGTACAGTCCAGCTCCGAGGATCATCAGCACGATCACAATAGTACCCAGGATATCATGCAGGAGAGCAAAAAGGGACGGTCCACGTAGATCTGTTTCTGTCACACAGAGTGAAGAAGGTTAAGGCACAGAAGACTGAGGACGCCCATTGCCAAGCACATGCAGACGTCTGAAGGGACC